AATCCTTTCCAAGGCGTGCACGCAGGCGGGCGGCAGTGCCAAATCGGTCGGCGCAAGCCCACAGAGACACCCAAGACAGTCCAGGATAGCACCTGGGTAGCCTTGAAGACCCTCCGCGAGAGCCCCAAAAGCGTTCTCAAAGGGGGCCCGAGAGAACAAAATTATTGAATTTCCATGGGTTTTTCAATGTTTTTAGTGTCCTCGCTTTTTCGGGTTTCCGACGCTCCTGGACCGCCCAAAAAGCTCCCAAAACCGCCCCACAACGGCCCAAGAAGCTCCCAGAGCGCGCTGAGAGCGCCCCAAGACGGTCCAAGACGCGCCCGAGATGGCCCACGAACGCTCCAAGACGGCCAAAAGAGGGGCCCCAGGGGGGACCACGAACTGAAAATACGAGCCTCCCGCCCCGATAAGGCCCAAGGAGGCCCCAAGAGAGCTCCACAGGGCCTCGGGAAGCCCCCAAGTAGCTCCGGTGAGGCTCCAAAAACATTCCAAATTGTTACTTTTCCATTGGTTGTTCAATGTTTTCAGCGTCGTCGCTTTTTCGGCTGTCCGACGCTCCAAGACCGCCCAAGAAGCTACCAAAACCGTCCCACAACGGCCCAAGAGGCTCCCAGAGCGCTCTGAGAAAGCCCCAAGACGGCCCAAGACGCGTCCGAGATGACCCACGAACGTTCCAAGACGGCCCAAAGAGGAGCCCTAGGGGGGACCACGATTTGAAAATACGAACCTCCCGCCCCGAAAGGGCCCAAGGAAGCCCAAAGAGAGCTCCAAAGGGCCTCGGGAGGCCCCCTAAGACGTTTCGGTGAGGCTCCAAAAACATTCAAAAATGTTACTTTCCCATTAGTTTTTCAATGTTTTCAGCGTCCTCGCTTTTTCGGGCTTCCCACGTTCCAAGACCGCCCAAAAAGCCCCCAAAACCGCTCCACAATGGCCCAAGGGGCTCCCAGAGCGTCCTGAAAAGCCCCAAGACGGTCCAAGACGCGCCCCAAGACGGTCCAAGACGGCCCACGAACGCTCCGAGACGGCCCAAAGAAGGGCCCCAGGGAGGACCAGATAACTGAAAATACGAGCCTCCCGCCCCGAAAGGGCCCAAGGAGGCCCCAAGAGAGCTCCAAAGAGCTTCGGGAGGCTCCCTGGGAAGCTCCGGCGAAGCTCCAAAAAACTTTCAAATCGTTAATTCTCCATTGGCTTAAGCGGAGGAGGAGAAGGAGGAGGAGGCTCCTCCTCCTCCGCCACCTCCTCCTCCTCCTCCTCCTCCTCCTCCTCCCTGTTCCTTCTCCTCCTCCTCCTCCGCCTCCTCCTCCTCCGCTCCTCCGTAAATGGAGCAAGCGAGCGCTGCTCAAGCGGATGCAGGAGGGCGCAACGGCCCCACAACAGCAATCGTCAGACCGCCCCACAAGGCTCCAGGAGAACCCCCGCGAACCCACTCGAAGGGCTTCAGCGCCCCAAGGCGGCTTAGCGGCCCTCAAAAAGGGGGTCCCGACGGCTCATAAGAGCCAAGCTGACCAACACCCTGCCCGTCAAACCCGCCGCCCTCGAAATCGCACCACTCCGCCGCCCCGCGCCCCCTTCATCTGATATTCCCTGAAGAATAGCCGCATTATGCTCATAATCCCCGGTTCGCAACCAATTTTCCGGAAATTCGGTTGCGAACCCGGGATTCCAGCTGTTTCCCGCGCGTCCCCCACTCATATGTGCCATTCCATGCGCCCGCGGCCTCCAACTCGCAGTTCTGGCCCGTCCCAGGTTGATTGCCCCCCTTTCTGCTCTTCCTGCGCTTCTCCGAAGTACGAACCAGCGGACCGCGGCTAAACTGGAAAAAAGGATGGCACCACGGGCCAACCATTCCAAAGCTTCAAGGAACAAGGTGCATGGCGCGAAGCGCCAATGC